TATTAGAAAAGGAAAGAAATTAATAATCTTAAGGAAACTCACTGAGATACAAGAGAATACAAACAATTTAATGAAATCTGAAAAATAACTCACGATCTGAATGAGAAAATTTAACAAAGAGATAGATATTGAGAAAACCAAACAGAAATCTTGAAATTTTAGAATTCATTGAATGAAATAAAAAACACATGCAAGGTCTCAACAGGCTATATCATGCAGAAGAAAGAATCTCTGATCTTGAAGACAGCTGTTTTGAAATAACCCAGGAAGACAAAAGAAAAAAAAAAAAAGAAAATGAACAAAGTCTAAAAGATTTATGGGATGATATTAAGTGAACAAATATTCAAATTATGGGCATTACAGAAGGAGAAGAAACCAAAAAAGGTATTAAAAACATATTTAATGGAATAAGAGCTGAAAAGTTCCATAGTCTTAGGAAAGATATGAACATCCAAATACAGGAAACTCAAAGGTTCCCAAACAGATTCAACCCAAAAAGTTTCTCTTCAAGACACACTGCAATCAAAGTGTCAAAAATTAAAGACAAAGAGAGAATTCTAAAAACAGCAGAGAAAAGCATGAAGTCACTTATAAAGGAATCCCCATTAGATACACAATAGACTTCTTGGCAGAAGTCCTACAGGCCAGAAGAATGGGATGATATATTCTAAGTACTGAAAGAAAAAAACTGCCAGCCAAGAATATTACACCCAACAAAACTATCCTTCAGAAATAAAGCAGAAATAAAGTCTTTCTCAGACGTGCAAAAAATAAGGGAATAAATCACCACCAGACTGCTGTACAAAATATGCTTAGAGGAGTCCTACAACTAGAAGAGAAAGAGTGATAACAACTATCATGAAAACACATGAAAATATAACTCACTGGTTGACTCAATACACTAAAATAGAAAGAGAAAGGAATCAAAGCTTATCAATACAGAAAAACACCAATCTGCAAGGGTGAACAATAAGAAAGGAACAAAGCATACACAAAACAATCAGAAAACAAGCAATGAAACGACAGGATTAAGACTTCATATATCAATAATAACCTTAAATGTAAATAAATTAAATGCCCCAATTAAAAGACAAAGACTGGCTAACTGGATGAAAAGAAAAAAAAAAAAAAAAGACAAATCCACATGCTGCCTGCAAGAACCACACCTTACTTACAAAGACACACATAGACCTTAAGTGAAGGGATGGAAAACAATATTCTATGCAAATGGAAAACAAAAGTAAGCAGGAGTAGCTATACTTATATCAAATAAAACAGACTTTAAATCAAAATATGTACTAAGAGACTAGGAATGGCATTATATAATGATAATGGATCAATACAGCTAGAGGATATAACAAATATTTATGCACCCAACACCAGAGCACCCAGATATATAAGGCAAATATTATCAGATCTAAAGGGAAAGACAGACACCAAAACAATAATAGCTGGGAACTTTACACCCAATCTCAGCATTGTAGGGATAACTGAGAGAAAAAAATCAACAAAGAAATACAGGATTTAAACAGCTCCATAGACCAGATGGACCTAACAGACATTTACAGAACATTTCATCCAATAGCTATAAGACAATAAATTTCAAAACATAGAGGAAAAGGATAAATTTCTGGATGCAAATGACCTACCAAGACTGAACCAAGAAGAAATAGAAAACCTGAACAGACCAATAAAAAATAACAAGACTGAATCAGTAATAAAAAGTCTGCCAAAAAAGAAAAGCCCAGGACCGGATGGCTTTACTGCTAGTTTCTCCCAAACATTTAAAGAAGAATAATACCAATAATTCTTAACCTATTTCAAAAAACTGAAGTGGATGGAAGTCTTCCAAACTCATACTGTGAGGCCAGCATCACCCTGATACCAAAATCAAGCAAGGACACAACAAAAAAGGAAAACTAAAGGCCAATATCTCTGATGAACACAGATGCAAAACTCCTCAATAAAATACTAGCAAACCAAATCCAACAGCACGTCATAAAGTTTATACGCCATAATTAAGTGGGATTTATCCCAGGGATGTAGGATGCTTTCACACACACAAATCAATAAACATGATAGATCACATCAAATGAATGAAAGGAAAAAAACCATATGATCATCTCAATGGACACAGAAAAAACATTTGATAAGATTCAACATCCCTCCATGATAAAAACTATCAACAAATTAAGCATAGGAAGAGAGTATCTTAATACAATGAAGGCCATATGTGGCAAACCCACAGCTAACATCATACTGAACTTTCAGCTTTTCCTCTAAGAACAAAAACAAGACAAGGATGCCCACTCTGACTGAGCACTTTTATTCAACATAGTACTGGAAGTCCTAGTCAGAGAATTTAGGCAAGAGAAAGAAATAAAGGGCATCCAAATTGGAAAGGAGAAAATCGAATTGTTCCTGTTTGGTGTTGACACGAGTTTACATAAAGGGAAATTGAAAGATCCTACCAAAAACCTCCTAGACCTGATAAACAAATTCAATAAAGTTGCAGTATATAAAATCAATTTACAAAAACCCATAGCACTTCTATACATCAACAACAAACTGGAAGAAAAAGAAATAAAGAAAGCAATCCCATTTATAATAGCAACAAGAAATAAAATATCCAGGAATAAATTTAACCAAGGAAGTGAAAAATCTCTACAAGGAAACTATAAAGCACTGATTAAAAACAATTAAAAATGACACAAAAAAATGGAAAGACATCCATGCTTATGTATTGGAAGAAACAATGTTGTCAAATGATCATACTACCCAAGTGGTCTACAGATTCAATGCAATCCCCATCAACCTACAAATGACATTCTTCACAGAAGTAGAAAAAACAATTCAAAAATTTATATGGAAAAACAAAAGACTCAGAACAACCAAAGCAATCCTGAGCAAAAAAAAAATAAAGTGGGGGACATCACACTCCCTGACTTCAAAATATACTACAAAGCTATACTAATCAAAATGGTATGGTATTGGCATAAAAACAGGCACATACACCAGTGGAACAGAATAAAAAATACAGAACTAAATCCACATACCTACAGCCAACTGATTTTCAAAATAGGAACCAAAAATGTACATTGGGGAAAAGACAGTCTCTTTAATAAATGGTGCTGGGAAACTGGAAATCCATATACGGAAGAATGAAACTAGACCTCTCCCTCTCACCATATATCAAAATCAACTCAATGGATTAGAGACTTAAATGTAAGACCTGAAACTATAAAACTTCTAGAAGAAAACCGAGGGGAAACACTTCAGGATATAGGACTCGGCAAAGATTTTATGAATAAGATTTCTAAAGCACAGGCAAGAAAAGTAAAAATTAAAAAATGTGATTATACCAAACTAAAAAGCTTCTACACAGCAAAGGAAACAATCAACAGAGTGAATAGACAACCTGAAGAATCAGAGAAAATATTTGCAAACTATGTATCTTACAAGGGATAAATATCCAGAATATACAAAGAACTCAAAGAACTCAACAGTAAAAAACCAAATGACCCAATTTAAAATTGGGCTAATGAGCTGAATGCACTTTTCTCAAAAGGAGAGATACAAATGGCCAACAGCTATATGAAAAAATCCTCAACATCACTAATCATCAAAGAAATGCAAATCAAAACCACAATGAGATACCATCTCACCCCAGTAAGAATAGCTACTATCAATAAGACAAAAACAAATGCTAGTTAGGACATGAAGAAAAGGGAACTCTTGTACACTGTTGGTGGGAATGTAAATTACTACAGCCATTATGGAAAACAGTATGCAGGCTTCTCAAAAAACCACAAATAGAACTACCATATGATCCAGCAATCCTTCTACTGAGTATAACCAAAGGAATGGAAATCATCATGCCAAAGGGATACCTGCACTCCCATGTTTACTACAGCTCTATTCACAATAGCCAAGATTTGGAACCAACCTAAATGTCCATCAACAGATGTTTGGATAAAGAAAACATGGCATATATAAACAATATACACAATGGAATACCACTCAGCCATAAAAAAGAATAAAATTCTGTCACTTGCAGCAACACAGATGAGCTTGGAGAAAATTACATTAAGTGAAATGAGCAGACACAAAAAAGAAATACCACATGTTCTAGATTATATGTGGAAGCTTAAAAAGTTGATCTCATAGAAGTAGAGAATACAATAGTGGTTACTAGAGACTAGTAAGAGGAGGGAAAAGTGGGGACAAGAGAAAGGGTGATCAATGGATACAAAATTGTAGACAGAGGAAGAACAAGATCTAGTGTTTTATAGCAATATAGGGAGACTACAGTCAACAACAAATTACTGTATAACTTCAAGTAGCTGGTTGAGAGGATGTTGAATGTTCCAAACACAAAGAGGTGACAAATGTTTTAGGTGATGTATATGCTAAGTACCCCGATATGACCATTGTACACTGTATAAGTGTACCCAAATATCATATTGTACTCTATAAATATATATAATTATCATGGGTCAATTAAGAAATAATAAATTAAAAAGAAAAAAAGAAAAAAAAACTGTTGCTAAGATAAAACTGAGTTATTTCCCAACTTAAAAAAAGAAAAGTTTGCTGTCTCCTGTTCTAGAATTGCTTTGTCTAAAACAATAGTCACAAGACAGATTTGGCTAGTGAACACTTGAATTGCAGTAAGTGTAGAATATAATCTAAATGTCACAGCATGAAAAAAATAAATTTAACCTCATTAATAATGTGTTTTGACTACAATGAAAAAGAAAATATTTGGAATATATTACATTAAACACAATTTATAATTAAAATTATTTTCAACTGTTTCTTTTTACTTTTTTTTATTGTGGCTAGTAGAAAATTTAGACTTTCATATGTGGCTAACATTGTATTTCTATTAGATAACACTGCAGTAGAATAAATTCAAACAGAGTCATATCACTCTCTGAAAAGGGAGGAAATAACCTTTTTTTCCCCTAAATTGAGACCTCTAAAATAAAGATACTTACAGTGCATTTATTAGTATCATCATCATCCTTTTCCTCATAGTAGAAGTAGACAAAAGGGATCCAGAAGAATACACAGAACAGTATGACAGAATATAAAGCTGTGGAAATAAATAATAAATTGAGTTCTACTAAACACATATGTTCTTATCATAGTTATCTATCCATATGTATGGATGTAGAAATGTATACATATTCACTTACCAAATTCATTTCCTCCTCTGATTCCCTATACTCATAAATCTGTGTGTACATCTGATATCTAAACAGCATTTTCTGTTCCCTGCCCCAAGAAATCAATAGTACTATTAGAAAAACAAATTGTAATTCAAGTTAACTATAGGTCAATTTCTAATAATGATGATAATAATTGTGCTAATAACAATTGTGGCAGCCAGCATCTGAACTCTTACTATGTACTAACTACAGTGCTAAGAAATTCCTGTGAACCATGTGATTTAAGTGAACTTTAACTTTTGAACTCATTCCAACTTAAAATTGAGTACAACTGACACATTTGCTAGTTACTCTGTCAAGTTAAAGAAACAGCTATAAATGATACTGTCCTTTTGATATAAGTAATTTCCCTGTCCTAAATTTAAAATACGCAGTATTATGAAACTGATTTTACACAAATCAAGATAGAGAAAAGGTACGAAGAACAGTAAAATTAGATTCAGAGTAACTGAATTACTATTTATCTGCTTTAAAATAAGGTTAGATTGGAGATACTTTTAATTCAATATAGGGCTTATATTAAAATTTGAATAGCCAAAGATATACCGTATTTAACAATAAAAACAGCATAAACAACTTTTTGCAACTTAATAAGCCTAAGAAACCCATTTTTAAAATCTGTATATTGACATTTATTTGAATATACACAAGCTCATGAAAAATAATAGTATAATTATATAAAGCATTTACAGAATAATAATCATTGTATTCCTTTAAAAAGGAAACATTTGTTACCACCTCACACCCCTTAGGATGGCTACTATCAAAAATAAATAAATAACAAGTGGTGGCAAAGATTTAGAGAAATTGGAACCCTGTACACTTTTGGTGGAGATGGTTAACCACTGTGGAAAACTGTATGATGCTTCCTCAAAACATTAAAAATAGAATTACCATTTTATCCAACAATTCCACTTCTGGCTCTGTGTCCAAAAGAACTGAAAACAGAGTCTTGAACAGTTATTTGTACATCCATGTTAATAGCCGCATTACTCACAAAAGCTAAAATATGGAAGTAACTTAAGTGTCCATTGATGGATAAATCAAGAAGCAAACTATGATATATACATAAGATGGAATATTACTCAGCCTTAAAATGAAAGGAAAATCTGACATATGCTACAGCATGGATAAACCCTGAGGACATTATGCGAAATAAGCCAATTACAAAAAAGACAAATACAGTTGATCCTTCAACAACACAGGTTTAAACCACTTATAGGAGACATCATCATCCGCAGATTTAAACCACAACAAATTGAAAATACAGTATTCATGGGATGAGGAACCAACATATATGGGGTGCCAACTTTTCGTATGCCTGGGTTCCACAGGGTCAACAACTTAAGTACATAAGTAACAAATTGAAAATACAGTATTCATGGGATGAGGAACCAACATATGTGGGGTGCCAACTTTTCGTATGCCTGGGTTCCACAGGGTCAACAACTTAAGTACATAAGTAATGATGTGGGGAAATGTATAAATGCATTTTTGACTGGGATGTGGAGTGATGTCAGCACCCCTAGTCTCCGTATTAATAAGGGTCAACTAACTGTACCGTATAATTCCACTTAAATGAGGTACTTAGAGTAGTCAAAATCATAGAGACAGAAAGTAGAGTGGTGGTTTGTCAGAAGCTGAGGGTATGGAGAGAATGGGATTATTGTTTAATGGGTATTAAAGTTTCAGTTTACAAGATGAAAAGAATTATGGACATGGAGGGTGGTGATAACCATGATATTATAATATAATATGATATTATATAATTATTACAACATTATGAATGCATTTAATACCACTGAATGAAACCATATATCTAAAATGGTTAAGATGGTAAATTTTATGTTATGTGTAATTTACCACAATAAAAAAAAAATGGAAAAAAAAAGAGAGCACTTGTTAGTAATGTACAATAAGACCCCAATTATTATTGGAAGGAATGACTGTATGAGTTACAGAATTTTTAAACATAATCTTAATCATTGCTAGCACTATCTCATTTATCTGGAGGCCACTTTATAAAACAGCCCCCACTCACTACGTTCAACACAGAGTCAAAAAACTGAGAGCAAAGAGGACTCTAAATAACCAATAGAAAGGTCAGAGTTAATTTATACTGAGAAATCACAAAATGACTGCCAGATACTGAATTTAGCACTAAGGACATTAATGGAATTCATGCAATCTTTCAAAATTATGAGCAACTAATGATGACAGTAAATCTTTTAGGATAATGAATATTGAGGTTTCCACTACAAATCAAAGAGTAGTATTAACATTCCTACTGCAAATCTAAGAACCAATGGAAATAAACATATATTCAAAAAAGTAACCAAAATAAGTATTCTAAATCTTTTTTTAAAAAAAAAGTGCCAAGATTGTAAATCATCATACCATGCCATATTATGATTTAAATAATCAAATAATCTGTGTAAAATAGGAAAAAAACCTGATAATTGCACAACAGACTCTAATGGGCGGATAGCCACACGACAAAAACTTTGATAAATTAAAACAGTAAGGTTTGATTTCAGCCTCAGTATGCTACTTAGTGGCACTGGCCTTTAGACTGTGAAAGAGCCTAATGACTATTTTAAAACATTCCTGGTGTCCCTGAACTTGTGTGATCAATGATCTTATACTGCATAAGTTACCATTATATTCACTCAGCACAACAATGTACAAAACAAATTCCTGTAAGTCAATAAAGAGACAACCCATTTTAAAAAAAGAACAAAGGACTTGAACAGATGCTTCACAATAGAAGATATATACAATAGCCAGTAAGCTCATTTTAAGTGGTGCTCATCATAATAAGTACATAGAAAACATGCTCAACATCACTAATCATCAGGGAAATGGAAATAAAAACCACACTGAGGTATCATCTCACCCCAGTTAGACCAGCTATTATCAAAAAGACAGAATAACAAATGCTGGCAAGGAAGTAGAGAAAAGGGAAATCTTCTACACTGTCGGTGGGACTCTAAAGTTAGTACAGCCATTACGCACAACAGTATAGAGGTTTCTCAGCTATGGATAGAACTACCATACGATCCAGCAATCCCACTTTGGAGTATATACCCAAAGGAATGGAAATCATCATGTCAAAGTGATACCTGAACTCCCACGTTCATCACAGCTCTATTTACAACAGCCAAGATACAGAACCAACCGAAATGTCCATCAACAGACAACTAGATAAGGAAAATGTGGCATATATGCACAATGGAATACTACTCTACCATAAGAATGAAATTCTGCCATTTGCAGCAACACGAATGAGCTTAGCAAAAATTATGTTAGGTGAAATAAGCCAGGTGTAGAAAGAGAAATACCACGTGTCCTGACTCATAAGTGGGAGGGAAGGAGAAAGGGAGAAATGAAGGAATGACCACAATAAAACGTTAAACTTTGAAAAGGAGAGAAGAGACCTATAGTTACTAGAGGTGGGAAAGGAGGAGGGAGAGGGTAGTTAGGGAGTAACTGGGTAAGGGACACAAAGATAATTATGATTTGTAATGATGAATATGCTAATATTGATTTTATCATTACATACTACACACAAATACTGATAGTCAACTCTTTACCCCATGGATATGTATATTCAATTGTTTCAATTAAAAAACTAAATTTAAAAAAATGTAAAAAAAAAAAAATCCATCAGGAAAATGCAATGTAAACTGACAATGAGATCCTACACATCTACTAGAAGGGCTAAAATTAAACTGGTAATATCAAGTGTTAATAGGAACAATTGACATTCTCATACTTTGCTAGTGAGAGTGAAAAAAGGTACAACACTATATAAAAATGTTGAGTAGTTTCTTATCAAGTTAAACATATACCTATCACCATGACCCAACAATTCTATTCCTCTAGCAATAAACTATCTTATCAATTAGGAACATAGGGAACATTCCAAGGATTAAGTTCCCAGGAGTTGGTTCAAGGGTCAGCTACATAAGTAGACCCTCCTGAAGACAGAGAAGAGTTGAACAATATCAGGTCTGCTGCATTAACTCTTTCACGAAAAGAATGTTCATAGCAACATTATTTGCAGTGCTCAAAAGCTGAAAATGATCCAAATGTCCATCAACAGGTGAATGGATAAGTAAAATGAGTGATATATTCAAACAAAAGATTATCACGCAGCAATAAATAAGATACGAGACACGGATGAATCTCACAGACTTTACCCTGAATAAAAAAAAGCCCAGGCACAAAACTACATTTTCTGTGACTGAACTTAAGGAAGTTCTAGAACTAGCAAAACTAATCTGTTACGAGAAGTCAAAAAAGTGGTTGGGGCAGCTACTGTCTGTAAACAGACACAAGGGTGCATGGCAACCAAAATTCTCATATGGTGCTGGTAGCAGTGCCCACAAAAGACAGTTTCCAGCAATCAACACCTGAAGGAAGAAAGTGGGGAACAGACAATTCTGAAGAGACTCTATAATATACCCCCAGTAGCCTGTGACGCAAAGTAGGTTTAGAACAACTGCTCTAAATCTTTGTTTCCCCGGGCCAGCCCGTGGCTCACTCGGGAGAGTGTGGTGCTGATAACACCAAGGCCCCGGCTTTGGATCCCATATAGGGATGGCCGGTTTGCTCTCTGGGTGAGCGTGGTGCTGACATCACCAAGCCAAGGGTTAAGATCCCCTTACCAGTCATCTTTTTAAAAAATAAATAAATAAATCTTTGTTTCCCTGACACCAAAGTACTTTCTGGTAATCTGATCGTCCTCCTTACCAGTCATCTTTTTAAAAAATAAATAAATAAATAAATCTTTGTTTCCCTGACACCAAAGTACTTTCTGGTAATCTGATCGTCCTTTCTCTGTGTCTTTCATAAAGATGTC